TTCAGCTGCTTTTGAAATGGCTGCCTCTGTGCTCTGCAAGCAGTCTGTGTAAATTAACACTCTTGCTCTGAGCTCTCTCCCCCAATTCATTAGTATTCATAGTGGTAAACCCCCCCCTGGACAGTGTATTGTGACCTGGAAAGCAGTGCTGGTGTGCAGTGATCTTGTTACAATGACTCACAGGGAGGGGGCCAGCTGCTTTACAATCCGACCCTAGTGTCAGACTGGGTTTCCTGTGGAGAACATTTTCTAGGACTCATGTGAGTCATGAAAATGTGCACACATATACATCATTACTGCACCTCTACATTACCACAATAAATGCTAATCACTTACAAAGGTGGAAATGGGATTTACAATCCCCAAACTGGAGCTGAACAGGAAAAGGGTTCAACAAAGCTTGTCGAAAGCTCTCTAAATGCTCTGTAAATGTTTGCCATATACAATGTGCTCTTATACAAGCTGAAGCCCATGTGAAGGGCTTGTTCACACCATCTCCAGACTGGAGCATTTTTTATCTGCACCAAAAAAGCATACATAGTAATTCCAAGGTTTTACATGAGGCTACCCTGTACGTCCCATCACACAGTGCCTATATGACTGGCCACGTACACTGTACGTGACGAGTTATATCAGGCTCTGTAATGCCGGTATCCACTGATTCTCAGCAGTTACCAGTCATTAATGAATGTCTCATCATTGAGGCATTCATTAATGAAATAGTTCAGCTTTTGTAAAAGCTTCTTTCTTTAATTAATGAAAGAATGAAGCTGTTACATGCAAATACGGGAGCGCTAAATAGCAATCCCGTATTTGACAGCTGAAAATAGCAGAGAGGTAGCAGAGTGAGTGACCTATCTGCTATTTGCTTTGACAGCTGGATAGACCATGTCTATGATACATTTCAGGCAAAGAGATACAAGAGATACAATGTATCTCTTTGCCTGAAATGTATCACTTATGATCGTCTAGGCAAGATCAGAAACCTTTAGTGAGATCTGAATCTGACATGCTGTCAGGATCAGTCTCTAAGGTTATTATCAGCTGTTCCTACGTTTGGAGCAGCCTAACAATAGCCAAAAATTTTAAAAGTTAATTTATCAAGCAGTCATGGTGGTTTTTTACTTTTTTTTTACAAAGTGTAAAAAATAAAAAATAAAGTGTAAAACAAAATTAGGAAAATAAAAATTATATATATGTTTTATACTATAATTATTAAAAAATTCTAAAAAAAATTATAATCAAAACTTGTGAAAAAGTGTTTTTTTCTAGTTTTTGTCCTCATTTTTTTATATTTTATTCAAACTAAGTGAGGCGTTAGGTACACATGTTTGATAAAATTATATAGCCCTATCTGTCCTCTCAAAAACAATATATAATATGTGTGGGTACATTTAGTAAGAAAGTACATTACTGCTGTGTAGGAATCGCACAGCAAAAATGTAAAAAGTGTGTCAGTCATTTATGAACAGAAACTGAAAACTAGCTCAGTCATAAAGGAGTTAACAGCTACTCTGAGAATAGGAAACCTTAAACACGTCCCATTGGGTACAATGGATCCTTCATTGTCCTGCACAGAACAGTACAAGATAAACAACCTTTATGATCACAGTTTGCAATAATAATTGTAATAGAAAGGTGAAGGTACACGATGATTAATGAATGCCAAAACCTTAAGCTTAGTAGGTTCTGTTTCTAAACCTGACTGTCCGGGGTTATATTTTATGGCAATACAGAACTTACAAACATGGATATATAGAGTAATAATAGAGTAATAGAGTGCACATAAGTCAAAAACAAGGAAATTAAATGGAATTGTTGTGTTGTCACTGTTCAGTTCAGAGAATGCGCATTTATACATGTCAGAAAGTTCAAGATTAAAGCATAGCGCTCAAGCCTGAAAGGGGCACATCATTCAACATTGCAGCAGACATACTTTTTCACCCTGATAGTGATCTCCCTATATTGTCTTGTGATCACGGCAGCAGTCGTCATGGTAATAACAAAGAGATGGTTTTTCATTCATTCTGGAGACAACCAGACTCCAAGGCTTAAGCTGTTTAATTTAATCTGGCCCCTTATTAAGGATTACATTTGACAGCAAATGAGGTCAAATAAAATAGAGATTGCTGATTGGAAAGCTTCTTTATCATTCGCTTTCTTGAATATGAATACGCAAGTGAACAATATGTTAGATGGACCTGCATTTAGTTGTGCTTCCCTAGCCAATGTAGCAATCAATATTGTATTACCTTGCACAGTTAAAAAACATAAGGCATAACTTGCCTGAAATGTTATCAGTTACAGTAGAAGAAAATTGCTAAGCCACTTTTACCCTTTTGTTTGTAGTCTACAATACTGCAGAAGGCAAATGGACATGCATATGATGTATGACAAACTACCAGTATTTACTGCCCATTGTAGATGCCATTAGGAGCTACAAAAAAAGTATCTAATACAGTTGTACTATAAAGTACATTATGCTATGAATATCTATAAAAACATAAATAGGTGGCTTCATGATTCCACCTGATAATAATTTCATCATAAATACTCCAGACACAACAATAATGGAGTAGTAGAATGTTGTCATGAAAATGGTGCGTGGTTTCCTTCTGTAAAGGCAATTTAAAGTGTAAAGTCTAATAACCCAATGCATCCAATTAGAAATCAGTTCTTAACTGACCTCCCCTGAATTTGTACCTGTAGTTATGGGTTATACCATTCTCCACAAAGTTATTAAAGTGAAGAATGGCTTTTAACTCATTATTAGGAAATATTTAATGGTGAAAAACATTTCCCAATAAAACATATACTTTTCTTACTAAGGCAGGAATCCCTAGGTACTGGTTTAATACTGAGATGCAAGTATACAAGATGTTAAAAACATCTGACAAACTATGGTTCATAGGAAGGAATAGATGTCCCCACCATGGGGGTCTTCCCCCAAGTGCCTCCTAGTTCTAACTAAATAGACTTTTTATGCCAATCAGTGTGGTACCCTACTTTCAGCTGGATCTTCCACAAGGTTACATGAAGAATGCATCACATGCGTCATGTCTTGGCACTGATCCAAATGTTACTTCCATGATGTTAATGCGTAAGGGGCAACAGAACTGAGAAGTGGAATCCCTCCTTGAATAACCCACTAGATAAGTTAAAATACCAATGCTAATTACAATGCTATACTCAGTTCAGAATTACTTATTTTAAGGTATTCCCCATATCAGTCATGCAAACTAAATTACCCAAATGAGTAGGCATCTTGGTAATAAGTTGTAAAAAAACCCCTTTAATTTTTAAGTTGAAAAAAAACGGAGGGACGGCACTGCTGCACTAGCGGGTTGCCGTCTCCAGACGGCATTCTTTTTTCTGCTCACACGCGCAACTGATAACACTAAACTGATGAGCTGTAAAAGCTTTTTGGGTATTATCGTTTTTTCAGGTTTCGCGCGCGCACGCAATTTTAAGGCTTGACATGTTTGGTGCCTTTTTACCCGACGTGACCCTGTCTTTTATATTTTACCAAAATTTGGGTAATAATAAATGTTTTATCATTTAATATAGGGGAAACGGAATACAAATAAAGATGATATTCCGAAGCAGAATGGTGTGCGGACAACATATCTTCATCATTTTGTTGGAAGATTTCCCCCCTACCTCCTGTTTTGGTGAATTTTCTGCGACAACACTATAACAAAACATTGTAGCAATTGTGACAGTAAAGCCTATCTCTGTGGTATTTTGGAAGTATTGTGAAGAGAACTTACCTGATCCCCGCTCCCCTAGCAGTTAGCACTCACCTCTTTCCCCCCAGCTTCTGGAGTGTCCCTAGGTGTCTGCACCTTTAATGCAGGGCTATGGGCCTTGCATAGGAAGTGACAATTCAAGTGGACCTCCGAATGCTGGAGCAGAGGCAGGAAGAGGCCGCAATGCTAGTCTTGAGAGCAGACATCAGGTAAGTAAGAGTTCCTTAGATAGGTTTCCCAAGCAGTTAGCTCTTTAAGAGCAGGAGTAACCCCACTGCAAGGGAAGTGTTTTTTTTTAAACTGGAGACGGCTTTAAGCATTAAATGACTGAAGATCGTGTGTGAGGTCAGGCAGCTTACAGACCAGCAACTTTCAGACTTCAGCTGCTTGTCTGGGCAATGACAGTTCCTACAGTTATATCACCCATGTTTTACAGTCTACACACAAAATGTTAAAAAAGTATTGTTGTGTTGTATTCATAAAGAGTAACACTTTAGTAAAGTATAACAATCACGATCTAGAGAAGCTGGAGAGAAAAATTGGTCCATCGTGTGTCTTAATGCCTATGGCGTTTGTTCCACTCTTATTTCTTCTTTGAACATTCTCCTTTGTTCTAAGCATCTCATAAGATTAGAGCCAATCTCATATCCTACCATAGCACAGCAATGCAGAGGGGAAAGAGCTAGTTTATGTTTGTCATGAGAGAAATGTGGAGCATGCTATTGCTGACCTCCTGTAAATGCTATTTGTTTGGCTGTTTTGTTGATTCTTCTGGCATCACTAGCCAGAAGTAGATGCAGTAAATGAAGGGAAGAAAAAAATTGCCTGATCTGCTTGCATGTTTCAGATCAGTTATTCAAATATATTGAAGCCAGAGGGTAAGCATGGCAGGCTGATAAAACCAAACCCAAAAGTGAAAATCTAGCAAATTAAATTTCCTAGATTGCTGAATAAAAAATTGTTCTCGCTGATGCCAAATCAGAATGCACAAAGAGAGGTAAACTGGGGCTCCAAGTGGACAAATGCTGCATGGCATCAAAAATATAACAATAATCCTACATTATGCTAGCTATTTGAAGCAATATTTATCAGGCGTACAAACTGTCAACATGGAGAAGAAGAGAAATCAATATGGCCATGTTTATTCAGGGTGTCATAAATAATGCCTGCAGTCAGTATAATCTGTTTCTGGTACGAGCAATATTTTCAAGTGCTTATCTTTTTATAGAACAAAAATGAAAAGCTACGTACTGGTAGGTTTCTTCAGGCTGCAGATCCTCAATGACATAACTTGTTACATTCCCTACTGTGATGCTATTATCTCCCATGTCTATGTGGTAAGAAATAATTTCTGATCCATTGCAGCACGGTTCATCCCAGTTGAGCAGTAGGCACACCGAAGAATGTACTGTGCATGATTCTAGATGGGCACCTTCCGTCACATACAGGTTGGGCACTGCACATGGGGTGGAAGCTGGCGTTCTGCAGCTCACTGTATCGCTAAATGGTCCAGCTCCAGACAAATTTACAGCCTACGGGGAAATAAGTAACAGTAGACAATTAAGTGGCAAGAAATACAGCTAAATAAATTCGCAGTCAAGAATTGCATTAAGATTGGTAAAAGCCAGTCAATACATTGGGTTTTATTGTTGTAAGGTACTTAAAGGTATGCCCCTGTACCAAATTGGACAGATTTTTGCACAAACTGAGCCAACTGTTTTTCTTGCGGACACCAACAAACAAAAAGTTTTGGCTCTCATTGGGCAGTTGTCTACTGACAACAATTCTTGTTATGTCTGGTTTACAGCTTCTATAGAAGTTGCATTACAATCTAGATTAAAGCTATGTTCTTGTGTGAGGAGAGCAGGATTTGAAAAAGCAGAGATGAGGAAATGAGAACAAAGCAGGAGAGTGGAGACCTGAGACTGGATGCAGAAACTAGAGTAACTACAGAGAGAAGCACAGACCAGAGATCAAGTACAGAAGAGGAGGTAAACAGAGACGGGAGAGCAAGAGCACAAGAGGAAGAAACTGGGCATACAAAAGGAGAAGACTGAAGACCAGTGAGTGGGAACAGAGGAAGGCAACAGAAGAAAATAGTCACAGAGGACAAGGATGACATTAACTAGAGAGTAGCAGGGCCAGGGGAAGTAGCATTAGGAAACACAAGTTAAAAGATGGGGAGGAAGATAAGAGGGGAGTGCAGGGATTTTTGATGTGATATGGACAGTGAAGGTTAGTTACTGGGGGTCTTCCCATGTGAAGAGGGGACACAAAGGACATATATGAGGCAGATGATGAGAGGATAATGGACGCAGGGACCACTTTGCTGCAGAGATGCGAGTAGAAGTCACTTGTTGGAGGTATAGAGGGTGAGAAAATAAATCATGGTGACTGGGTGCATGTCTGAGACGACTGTATATACAAGCTAACATCCTATAAAAGTTGTAGAGTGACATCCTGGCTTCTAGTGTTAGCTCTTTGAGTTGGTACATTTGCTTCTGAATTCTCCACAGAAGGCCAGACATTAGTTTTTCCTTTAGACCATATATCGGATGGAATTCAGTGGGAAATGTGTTCAAGGAATAATTTTTAAATATCATAGACCAGTAATCTCTGGCAGTAGAACCGTCATAAGCATTGCCTTTTGTGCTAAAAATATTTTAGGCTTCCAAGTTTGTCTTAAAGGGTATCTATGGTCAAAAACTAAAATTGTATTTCTTTATTTAATTTCCACTACTAATAACCATATTGATCTAAAAGTGTGTAAACTTACTTATTGAAGATGCCCATAGGATGTAGTTGCACTAACACCATTTTTTCTCATCCCTGTGAAAATGCACTTCCTTGTGTCACAAGGATAGATGGAGCCTATCTTCTGAACAACAACTCAATGTCTGAACAAGGTAACATGATTACTGCTAGCTGAAAGCAATGCATTATAGGCTATGTAGTCTTGAGAAATCGAGATTGCATCACATCAAGCAGCAGGGAAAGAGATAGTGATAGAAAGTTATGTGCAGATGGAATTTTTTCCCATAAGCTTTCATAGCATTATCAAATCAACTATAATATGTATTCCTATAACAATGTTGATGTTTAAACTGTATATTGCAGTATATGATGTGATTTAGAACTCCTTTAATTTTGAAATATCCAGACGTACCCAGATATCTACATGTGAAAATAAAAAACAAATGTGGGCACCTTCCCCGTTTGTCTTCTGAAAGAAATACTGCATATATTGTAATTTAATGTAGTTATTTATTATTTAAACTAAGATATGTCATCAACTTGGCATCATTCTTAGTTAACCATCCATGTTAACTATCAAAGAGAACACACTTCCCCATGAGCTGTATTATTCCATTTCTGTGGGGTCACTGATCTTCTCTTATTCAAATCTAGAGCAGCAATGCCAAGTAAAGCTCTGGATATAAAATCTTAGGCATATGCCTGTTAACAGCTAAATGTAATACGGTGCCGTTTAGAGACACTTCTGAGCCTTAGAATGTATTCCGGTGTGAGTCATATCTGCAAAAAGGTTACAGACACTGAACAGCTCACAGCTTAAGAAGATTTTGGCAGCGTAAAAGTAAATAAAAAGTTAGCAGAGGTGACCCCTGACAACAGAGGTGCATTTCTCAACAAGCTTTTCACCACCTACATCTTCTTCTCTTTAAACAATATATAGGTAATGTAAATATATGTCTGTAATATGCAATTTGTCTGGAAAGTTTTAAAACATCTCTTAAAGGGGCATTACTCCCCTAATTGCAGTTGCCCCATGCAAGTCAAAAGAGGAAGGTCCTCTCAAATGCAGAAAATCATGTAGGGCCTTATTTTCAATTGTCACAGAAAAGCCTGGTAACCAACTAGGGTGATGTGGGCACAGGCCTGAGTGGGCAGATGAATGTACATGTACAATATGACTTCCTGGATGTTTGTTTGTTGGATGGCTGGCACATGAACATAGATGCTCTGATTCCATGAGCGATCAAGTTTACATGAATGGAGCAGCAAGGGAGTTCTGGTGCCAGATAAACTAGGGAGAGAGAACAGCAATCAGACAAGAGATCAGCATTTGCTCAGGCATCTGATAGTGTCCATAGACATGGTACTGTCACCCAATGTGGCTAATGTTGAGTGGATTATGTATCCATCATCTCAAGGCTATGACTAGCTTAAATGTTCAGCCAGCTGTCCTTTTAAAAGCATTGAAAAACACAAAATACAGTGATGACTAAAAGTATCTGCTGTCCATAGGCACCTTTGAGCTTGTTCCTTTATACTTTACATCCCGATAATTATTGGTAGTTAAGTGTAAGACAAACTGCCCTTTTAGCAGCTTCTATGTAAGAGACCTAGTGTGTTGATTTTATCATCTTTCAGTGAGCACTCTTTTTATTTAAATTTTCCAGTTTATGTTTTCACTAATAGGTTATACTATATTACATACATTTTAAAGACTTCATATTGATCTAAAACCACATTTTATAGTATTTAGATGTACAGTCCTTTCTAGGGATAACTCTAATTTTGCCCAAAAGGACTTAAGTTTTGCATAATCCAACTTTTTATGAAAAGAGAACAGTACAGAATAAATAGCATGGGTCCTTCAACAGGCTATGCATCAATTTCACATTTGAAAACATTCTGAGCAGGAAGTAATGATTACTCCTTTAGAAAGCGTAGAACATCTGTAGCAATCTTGACTAATGCTCCTATTTTGGTCAGGCTTGATAAGGTTTTTCTGATTGACAGTTTCTTCTATATAAATTTACAAACCGGTTGCTATGGTGAAAGGTGTTAATACAGTTTCAAGAGCTGGTTCAAGGACGTGCACTCAGAGGTAAATATAGGTTTCGCATAGCTCTAGGCTCATTTTTAGTCTCAGCTGAAATCATCAGGTGCAATGAAAACCTCACATCATTTTATAGCCTGCTGCTGAAATTATTTCCTGTGCTCCAAATTGGTCTGGGGCATCGGCTGTCATCTTTGTTAGAAAACTCATTCTGTTTTGTATGTACTCATTACCGTAAAAATTGGTTGCATTAATCTTGTTATCACAGATAGATTAGCATATTCTCACCTGAAAGGCAGAAGTCGAATTAGAATCAGATCATTGTTTTGTCTGCCAAAGTCCAAATGGGCTTATTTAATAAGGCAATGTAAAGGGTAGGACTGTATGGTAACCCAGAGTAACTAAGGGCAATTTATATATTTAGAGCAGTTAGATTATAAGACTGCTTTCTACTGCTAGGTATTGGTTATATGATTCTGTTACCTGAAGTGCATATAAAGCCAAAACTGTTTATTTTTTTAGATTTCGATAGAGTGAAAAGGGGTTGTCATGTGGTTTGTCATCTGTGTCCCATAGGGGAGTTTTCACTTTAATTCTTGTCCCATAGACACAACATGGAGTTAGAGGACATTTCTCCAAAGCGAAGGAAATCCTTTCTTAAACCGTTTTCACCAGATAAGTTTCTCCATGGAAAGATACATCGCACAATTTTGGATTTTCCCTCAATTTCAGTTTCAATGGCAATGGTCAACTGAACAAATAAGAGAGCCTAACTCTAACCCTTCCTCATTCTATCCAAAAATGAAAATATGATTGATTTAATAAGGTAGTTTTAAACAAATATACAAGATTGATGTGTCAGGTTGAAACTTTCAAGGCATATTTCAACCTGAATAGTTCCTGTAAGAAATTTGTAGGACATGCACTTTGATGAATCAGGCTTTCAGTATATGAGAAACAGCATAGCGTATGCATTTAAATGTATTTACACCGTGACTTTAGTTTACTCTGTAAACATTTTGCTTGTGTTTTGACCTGGGGAAGTCTGTAATTTAAGACAAAATACAGGGATGGAAAACAGAGATACAAGTATACATAGTAGAAAAAGGAAAATATAGAGAGACAGACATAAAGCGAGGAAGGGAAAGAGACACAGATACAGAGAGAGAGAGAGAGAGAGAGAGAGAGAGAGAGAGAGAGACAGAGAGAGAGAGAGAGAGAAAGAGAGAGAGACAGAGAGAGAGAGAGAGAGAGAGAGAGAGAGAGAGAAATATTGAGGAAGGTAGATAGAAAAAGAAAAGGAGAAAGAGGAATACTGAGAGAGGTACAGAGAAAAAGAGTAAGAGAGAAACACTGAGGGGGAGAGAGATATATTCAGGAAGGTAGAGAGAAAGAAAGAAAGAAAGAAAGAAAGAGAGAGAGAGAGAGAGACATACTGAGGGAGGTAGAGAGACAAAGCTTAAGAGAGGTAGAGGCAAAATGAGGCAGTCAAAGGGGTAACAAAGACACACAAACTGAGGATGAAGCCAGAAAGGCTTGGCTAAAAGTCATTATTTATTTCATATCCTGCTAAAAAAGACAAAAGTTGAAAAAAAATTCAGATATTGACCTCTCTGTTACACATTAGCGGCATATACTAAGCTGTTGTCAGTGTTTTGCCAAAAACATGTCATCATACCTGAAGTTTACAGCAGTATTGTGTTGCTGGTAATAAATCAGACATCTGAAAACTGGTGTCAGAGCCACTGTAAACTAATTCTGGGGTATCTTCTTCCTTTGCCCACTGTAGTCTGTATCCAGAGATGTCCGCACCATTGCTCTCAGGACTCTGCAAAAGAAAATGCATTTTAATTGTCTCATAAAATCCACAAGACTGTGAAGGAGGGAAAATTCAATTGCACCCTCAAAGGAAGCACTGATAAAAGGATAGACAGGAAATGTGCCTGTTGCATTACACGCGTCCAATAACCATTTGGTCCCAACTGACACTATATAAACTGAGCTTACAATAACTAAACAATGACAAGTGCAGGCAATTAGCCATTACTGTGCTGCACATGACAGCCATACTTAAAGATAAAAGCAATCACATCCTACTTGTTCTTCAGTCTTTAATCGTTTCAAAAATGCTGGATGTTCAAAAATTTATTGTGGCTTTTTTAAAAGTCAGCAATTCTAGCCCAAAAATAGCATTTGTCAGCTTTATTGCCAAGTTCAATTATTATTTTTTGTAAAACAAAAAAAATCACTCAAAATGAACTAAACAAAACAAAAAAAACCCACTGCTCATCAGTTCCCTAATCTCTCTTAGGCAACCTGAAGGCACAAGATCAATCACCGACAAGCTACCAGAAGAATTGTGGTTGTTTATTAACCACTTTACTACCTCTATACATTTAAGAATGGCAGAGTGGAGGAGTATTTCTGCAGTGCCATTTATAAATGTAATTGCAGAAATAAGACACAGGTGGCCTCTGTGTCCTTTAATGGCTGTGATCTGAGCTGTCATCAGGGTATGGGATCATCATATAATATAACCACTTATATTGTCCACCATGCAATCTACCCAGCCACAAAGTGCCCAAAACCTGGACAAACAATCAGATCAGCCTGGGCCCAGTAATGTTAAAGTGTATGTAAAGGATATATTTATAAATATAAGTGCCACGCTTAAAAATAATAATATAAAATATATGAATCAAAGTAACCTTCATATATACGTGTAAATATTGAACAACAATGAACAACAGTGATAAAAAAAACACTCAATACATAATAGACACATGCATCTATTCAATCCAACAGGTAAGTAAGTATAAGTTAGTGAAACAAATCAATTTCCATCAAGTACACAAGTCTCTTCATCTATCGGGGGGATGCCACCACTATTGCACAATTGCTATATAATAGACATAACATGCACCTATTTAATCCAATAAGTAAATGAATATAAGTTAGTGAAACAAATCAATTTTCATCAATTGAATAAGCCTCCAACTATCGGGAGATGTGTGTTTTCAGTCCACAACAGGGCTTAAGAGTGGAGTACATTTCTGGCAGACTAACCAGTATTTTCTTGTAGTTGTAGGATCTTTAAAGGGATATAACATGGGGAAATATGCATGTATTGCAGCTGTTATTTTGCCTGGACGTATCCTTTAGGCAGTTATGTTGACAGCAAAGTTTCTTTGCTGTCCAAACTATGTAATTACAAGTTAGTTCCATCAAAACACCAAGTAAACTGATTTGAGACAGATATTGTCTGAAGCTGCCCGTATACATCTGAGATCAATCAAACATGCAAGCATCATCCAACTATCTCCAGAAGTCTGTAGATGCAGATTACAGCCAAACATAAAAACGTCACCCAAGCGTTCATGTTTATGCAGCAGAGGGTAGGAGGAAGCTGAGAGCGGAGGTTGTCAAATCACAAGTAGCAATTTTAGACATCTACACACATGAAATGATCTCTATATCTGGCATTCAACTAAACTCATCCCTATAGGCACACAGTAAGAGCCAAAAGTGAATCTAGTTTGTCCACGGTCGCAAATTACTACACAAGCCTTAGGGCTAGCTCACACCATAACTGCGTGCGTCTGTGCAGCTGCAGTGCAATGTGTTTTTAACACTTTTTTTTCTTTTTATTAGCTTAAAATGGGCTTTCAGGTGCAGTCCAGTGCGTTTGCATGCGGTTTTAATGTTGAGGTTCTGTTGTGATCAGGTGCAGCTAAAATGAGACAAGCAGTATTTTTTCGGACTGCATTGGTGTGAACAGAGCACCAGACATCCCATTGGAAAACATTGCGATGCGATTTTGATGCACCTGCCAAACTGAACAGACTGCATCACAACTGCATCTGGTGTGAACTAGCCCTTAAAGCCAAAGTCCAGGCACACAACTAAATACACAGATGAAATACATAAATAGGAATTGTTTTGCTTGCCGAAAGATTTGTGTTTCTGTCCATCCAGTCCTTAGGTTTACACAGCCCAATCCTATATGGCAGGAGAAGTTAATTGATTCTTCTCTGCTGCAGTTCATTACAACTAAAGCTGGCCACACACTTAACATTTTTTTCTTGTTCAGCCCGCAGGATGGAGGAATCTCCCTTGCCGGCTATTATATTCTGACTACTGGCACCAGTCAGAATGCTGAAACAGTCACTGTAGCTGATTGGCTTTAGTCACTGTTCAGCTGACAATTTATGGACTGGCTCCTTCGACAAAAATCAATTGGATAATCGACTTTCGTCAAACCGGCAGGGCCACCTTCCGTTAGGATTTCGGCAGATTCCCATGAACTGGCAGAAATTCTACCAGTGTATGGCTAGCTTAACAGGTCTCCTCCCTGCCCTGGACAGTGAAAGAAGAATCAGTAGACTGATAGGCGTATCGCTCTATTACTCTCCTCCTATCACCCTAGTCCTTGTAGTGCAGCTCAGATGATTGGCTCCTTGTGCTGCTTCTCCCTCTGCTACTCTGAGCTCTGCTATACAGACAATGCAGGAAGCTGATACCAGGTGAAATGCAGGTACTTTTACTGTTATTTTATTTTAAACCCATTTAACTATGTGTTAATGAATACAGAACTGCATTAGTTTGTATCTTTTATATCTGTTTGGGATGCAGCTTTGAGTAGAAAAAAAAGATAAATCATTCGGTTTAGCTTTACAAACTTTAGAAGAGTTTTCAAACATGGCTGCATTGTCAAACTGTGCTAAATGAAAGGAAGATTCTGTATATAAAGCAGCCTACAAATATGCTGAGCACATGTTCAGTCAGAGCAATAATTTCATTTCTGTCTCATCAGTGGAAGTGTTGTAAAGAAGGGCTTCAATAAAGGGCTGTATTTCTGACGACACCAACGTTTTCTTATGAAAGCAGACACTCATCTTACCTCCCAACCTATATGTACACATGTGTCAGAGAGGAATGTCAGAACTGGAGGCCTGCACTGTGCGGGTGGTCCTGCAGCAGTCGTGACTTCTGTAGCGTTTGAATAGGGCCCATACTGAAATAAAAAAAATATATGTGAGTTCCATTCACTGATTAATCAAAGGCTTGCTCAAATCCGTGGTTAAAGATTGATTTAGTCAGGTCTTTTATATGTTGAAAACACAAAAGAAACATTTTGAAAAAGAGAAGGCAAAGTTTTCTTTTTCAAGCACAATCTGTATAATGCATACCACAAGTTTATCCCACTTTTGCTGTCACATTTGATACCATAAATTATTGGCGCAGGGTCCAGTAAAGTCTTTTTGAACTGAAAGGTAAAGAGATTTGCATGCAAGCAATTTACTTGTCAATTCACTTCACTGTATATGAATCTGATGAAAGAGATGCAATGCTATAATATTGAATTTTGATAGGTTACTGTGCTTTAAAGCACTCTGCATAGAGCTGTTGCTGCAAGCATTGCCTAAACAGATTCTGACAAAAGTCATGATTTGTTATTGTGGTCCCATAAAAAATAGAGAAGTTATAGAACAGAGTAAAGCTGGGTACACAGAGCGAATTTGCTCCGTTGGTGACCCGAACCCCTCAACAGAAGTTGATCATTAGATCGATATTTGTCGAAGGAACATTTTGGAAACTCCTTGGGTGATCAGCTGCAAGCATCGCTTGGGTACTCTGACAGTGAGCAGTGCCGTTGTCAGAATACAAAGCTCACAGAGGGAGATGTGTCCATTCACGCTGCTCAGCATGGATGGAGGAATCTGTTACATTTTTTGCATTTAGCAGGTTGAACAAAAAAAATATACCAGGGCATACCCTACTTAAGATTTGGCCTTTATCTACAGCTTTTCCACTAGGAAATGTCTGATTGCAAGATGTAGCACAAGGCTTTGCACCTAAGCTGGCCATACACTACTTGAATAGCCTCAGCCAAAATTTGAGTACTGTCAAGACTCCCCCACCCCGTTGGACAAAAGTGGATATTTTAATTGAACGATTCAAACAACCGTACAGTCAGCTGCAGATACTGTCTGGGCATTCTGGCAACAGCACACCCTCTGCTCTCAGAATGCAATAGCCTTGTGGGGTTGGGGGAATTCCCCCATACATGTTGTTGAGTCCTCATTAATGTATGACATGGATTCCAGATTTGTGATCTTGAAAATGAAATCTCTTCTGGTAAGTAGTCAATAGAGACAAAAGGCATGTAATATTAATCACCTCACCTGCAATGCATAACTTAAAAGTGCCAGAAATAGGTTTGTGTGGACATGTACACTTACAGGTGAAACTCGAATAATTAGAATATCGTGCAAAAGTAATTGCAGTAAGTGCTGCAAAAGGGGCCCAAACCAAGTACTGAGTACATATGCATGCTTGTACTTTTCAGAGGTCCGATATTGTTCTATGTACAATCCTTGTTTTATTGATTGCATGTAATAATCTACTTTTTTGAGGTTGTGGATTTGGGGTTCTTGGGGTTTTCATGAGCTGTAAGCCATAATCATCACAATTATGACAAATCACGGCTTGAATTATCTTGCTTTGCATGTAATGAGTCTATCTCATATATTAGTTTCACCTTTTAAGTTGCATTAGTGAAATAAATGAACTTTGCACGATATTCTAATTATTCGAGTTTCACCTGTATAATGCCAGTCACTAAACAACATAAAGCTTCTGCATAGGCAACACATTTTAAGTGGTGAAAATCCCTAATCAGTATCTTAACTCTAAATGCCTCTTCCTTCTCAAGATGCCCATTATTAGCTGAGGTCATCAGAAACCTCAGTGATAATGTTATCTCATTTCCTGCCCAACCTTGCCATCTCTGAAAATAACGTTTTAAACAACGTAGACTTTACATATAATTGGTTCCTTGTGCTGCATCTCTCTCTACCAGCCTAAGCCCTGCTGTACAGGGACTGCATGAGGCTGATACCAGGTCACATTTAAAAACTTACACTGCTTACATTTAAAACAATACATTCACTAATATATTAATGAATAGAGAGCTGTATTAATTGGTGCCTTTTATATCTGCCTGTGATGATAGCAATGACGATCACCAGCACTCGCAAAATGTAATAAATCCTCAGGTTCTTTTTATTATAGAACAGTGTTACATGTATCATATAGCCAACGTTTTGGAACTGCGCAGGGTCCCTTCATCAGGGCAAACATAGTCACTATGTTTGCCCTGATAAAAGGACGCTGCGCGGTTCCGAAACGTTGCCTATATGATACATGTGATGCTGTTCTATAATAAAAAGAACCTGAGGATTTATTCCATTTTGCGAGTGCTGGTGATCTTCATTGCTATCATCTCTGGATTTGAATGGCGCCATCCATGGACATCACTGCGAGCACCATTGCTGTTTTCAAGCATCAAAAGGTCCTGGTTGCTGTATGGTTTGAAGGGGACATTTCTATTGACTGCTTTTATATCTGCCTGGCGTTCAACTTTAATTTACACAAATTAAGTAAATCAACACTTTCCGGATGTAACAGAACTTGTAAATAATACAAAAATAAAAATATCCATGTTTGAAAATGCAAACTGAAAGCACCATTAACGATCCAAATAAACAATTGTGTATAATGATAGCACTGAGAAAATACACAAGACATTATGCATGACACATGAATTTGCATTACGCAGAGAACAAAATCACTTACTCCTCCGTCATTCAGGGCTCGTACGCTGAATTGATAAGTGCTTCCAGGAAGCAGATCGCTTACTGTACATTCCAAATCACTTCCATGGTAAACCTCAGTGGTATGTCCTCCAGGTACACTGAGCTCTAAGCTGTACTCTGATACCTGACACTCTGACCCCATCACAGGGGGATCTGAGGAGAAAGGGTAGGTTTTGGGTAAATCGAAATGCATAATGAAAAACTGCATATTAAAATTGTAACACATTTCAATAATTTATTAACGTCTACTGGAAGATGAGCCTCGGTGCATAATTGAGTAATTGTCCTTTCTTTTTGTCTTAGGACTGTGACTGACTACTAATTAAAGGAATAATACACCAAAATTACAAAGGAGTTGCAGTAGAAGCATGATAAGGTTCCACAGTCTATTCCTACATGGCCATAGTGCTCATCAGTCAAATATGAAGCACACAAGCAAGAAAAAAAAAAGGAATTGTTTCTCAGGAAAATGTTAAACACACATTGATTCAGATACGTACAAACTAAAAGAAGTAAGGGTTAAACACGGAGAACATTGTGTGGTGAAATCCATTATCTTTCAGATAATTTCCTGTCCATTTATTACAATGAAGAACAAAGCAAACCTGCTAGAGGTTTAAATTGAACCAGTCACCACTGGGCATCTGTGAAATCTCCCCTCAAGCTGGCATTACAATGCAGACTTAACTTTCTTAAAATGTTTGGTTTTTGCCTATTTGCTTGTATTCTCTCCTTGTCATAGCAGAACAGTCTGAGTGTCAAGCTATCAGGGCATCCTGTTCCCTACCTGAACTCTGGCATTAAAGTGCTAATACCAGACAGTGAATAGGAAGATGTTGTAGATTACATGAAAAAAAAAGTATTAAATACTTTAATGACCAACGGCAGCTAGATACAATTTCGGATATGAGCACTGAGCTCAGGCAACAGACAGGTCAGCCTCCATTGGGGCCTAACATCCACAAAACTGAGCTGACCTTTTTGCCTTGACAGGAAGAGATTATAAGTGATGAAGAGCCATCCAGACTGGTTGATAATACATTATTACAGGCTTTGGTTACCTTTACAGACAATATAATTGCAGTATTGAATATGTCAAGTTATGTGCAGATATGGTTATAGTTACTGACATTCAGTATTAGTAAATAGTATGAATACATTGTTGCAAAAATGTAAGTTGAGTTTAGTAGTTCTTTAATAGGATACATTCTATTACATTTTGGCTTTGCTTACAGTTACAATTCTTTGCCATAACCTATAAAACTGCTTGTAACTTACTTGTAAGTAGAACATTTACAGTATTTCCCCCACAAACCTCCACAGCAGAAAACCAAAGTAGCCACTTCTGTTGTAATCAAAGAAACATTAACCCTGGTCAGTCTAACTACAGTAAGTGCAGTGTTTACTAGCTCTTGAATTTGTGGCACCTATGAATACCAAAGTCTGGGCACGCAGGCCATTACTCCCTAAAAAAGGCCAAAACCAGATCAGGAAATGGAAACTACACGTGCTGGAGCTAGTAGCAACACTGCTTCTTTCATAGAAGTCCTGCAGGTACTTACCCCATTGTAAATGTACTTCTTTATGCTTTGGTTTGCCTACGACTCTTGGTGTTTGACAAGGACCAGGTGCTACACACAATGTGCGAAAAGGCTGACTTTCAGAACACTGAAAAATATTGTTGAGATAGAGACATAATTTAGACAAACCAGTCACTAAATCTGCCAGGCAAAATGCATGCTGCACTGTCACCCTTATATCTTTCCCAGGGTGCTGCCATGGTATTTCACCAGAAGGTGGTAAAGTAATGCTATCAAGTTTTACAACAGTGGGGGAATGGTTGACTGGATAGACAATCCCTGTGCACGCTTCCTGGTAATGTGAAGTCTTGTTTTGTGCCAACCAAAAAGCACGAGGAGGAAGGCAGGGTTTACTCTAGATTTTACTAGCACATCAAAGTTTGCATGCAGCAGGCTTTGTCTTTTCGTGGATGTATAAGACAGTGAAGGAAGAACACAAAGAAATTATCATAGTTACAGTTATCATTATAAGTCAACCATTGACCAACTGCAGTTAAACACAGCTGTTTTTTATGAAAGGTTCACTTTAAAACTGAACTCCAGTCAAACAGCTATATCCAAAAATGAAATGCATATATTGAGGCAGTTACCTACCAAATGATCTGTATTTCTATTCATCTAATCCAGAGATATACACAACCATGCCACATGGCACAAACAAGCAGAGGACACCACATTCTCTGTTACTCTATTGGACTGTAGAAGGAATACAGTGGTGTCTATTCCTCACCCAAGCTTGCCAACGGAACAGTGAAAAAGCAGCATAAGATTGATGAGGTCATCCATCTGCTCACTCTGCTCTCTCCTCCTATTTTTATGTTCCTTGTCAGCACGTTTGCATGCAACACACCAGATTGGCTCTTTACTCCTGCCCCCTCCCTTACCTAGTCTGAGTGCTAAAATATAGGTAATTAAAAGGCTGATACCAAGTCAAATCTCCACTGGTTGCATTCAAAAAATATAAATGTATTACTGAATACATAACCGCATTCATTTGTTTCTTTAATTTCTGCCTGGATTTCAGTTTTAAGAAAATGTTTGAGAACATGGGTGAATGAAACTGAGCATATTAGGAAAAACTGGATAAGCAGAGGACATGTTTAGTGAAAACCAACATAAAAACAGACAGTAATACCAAAAATAGCAAAGATGAGGTTTTATGTATATATTGTGTATATTATATACATACATTTCCTGTAAAGGTCATGCTTCACCCTGTCCTTTCCACCTCCCAAGACCCCCTTATTGGTCCTGATAGGCAGCATCATTGCTTAATAGGCTGGTTTGGGAGGTGAGACATAGCTTAACTTTTACCGGAATCTGAAGCTTGTTTATGACATTAGCTTTCTCTATATCTGGATTTACTGATCATTTTCACGTGCAGTTGAAGGCGACCTCTATTAATGCATTGTTTTTATTATATATTGAGTTTCAGCTATACCACTTTGTGACCATTACAGAAAAAAATCAAGATCTGAAAAGGGGACAACAAATTTCCTTGGCAATACAGGTGAAACTCGAATAATTAGAATATCGTGCAAAAGTAATTGCAGTAAGTGCTGCAAAAGGGGCCCAAACCAAGTACTGAGTATATATGCATGCTTGTACTTTTCAGAGGTCCGATATTGTTCTATGTACAATCCTTGTTTTATTGATTGCATGTAATAATCTACTTTTTTGAGGTTGTGGATTTGGGGTTCTTGGGGTTTTCATGAGCTGTAAGCCATAATCATCACAATTATGACAAATCACGGCTTGAATTATCTTGCTTTGCATGTAATGAGTCTATCTCATATATTAGTTTCACCTTTTAAGTTGCATTAGTGAAATAAATGAACTTTGCACGATATTCTAATTATTCGAGTTTCACCTGTAAATGACTAATGACTATACATATGTTGATGCTATATAAATCCTGAATAATAATAGAAAATCTCTTCTCTAAATGTCAATGGAAGACTCTACACTTTGAGAACAGGTTTGGGCCATTGGTGTCTCATATTCATAAAAAACAAATGTGACATTCACGTATACAAAAAAAAAACCTGATAGTTTTTCTTGCTGAACATTTCTTAATATATATAACAGATTAGCCTACCTGACTGTGTCCCCCTGTGCTAATTGAACACACGCGGAGCTTGTATAAAGTGCCTGGCTTCAAGTCATTGCAGGTATATTCTGTTTCAGATCCACTATATGCTACTTTCCACTGCGATGCTGTAAAAATAGGATATCATTATCATAATATCACTCCATAACCAGGAAAAATAACAGAGACTAGAGGGCAACAATGATTACAATGTAACCATTACATAAATTGCACCATCATAATATGAAGCTTCGCTACAGAGAGTACTGAAAGACATATGGTTTAACAGTAACTAAAAAAAGTCTACTTCAAATTCAATCATCTTTTTTCATAATTAAATGACCAAATTGTTTTACTGTACTGTTCTAGCACTGTTCAAAATACAGGTGATTAAAAAAATAACAACAGCATGTCTCTTAGGGTTATTTGTTAATGAGGGCATTTGCCCTCAGCCTACATGACTAGGGTGTCCACTTTGACACTGTTTAGCAATGCAGCTTGGATACATAAAGACATTGTTTTTATTATATATTGAGTTTCAGCTATACCACTTTGGGACCATTACAGAAAAAAATCAAGATCTGAAAAGGGGACAACAAATTTCCTTGGCAATACAGGTGAAACTCGAATAATTAGAATATCGTGCAAAAGTAATTGCAGTAAGTGCTGCAAAAGGGGCCCAAACCAAGTACTGAGTATATATGCATGCTTGTACTTTTCAGAGGTCCGATATTGTTCTATGTACAATCCTTGTTTTATTGATTGCATGTAATAATCTACTTTTTTGAGGTTGTGGATTTGGGGTTCTTGGGGTTTTCATGAGCTGTAAGCCATAATCATCACAATTATGACAAATCACGGCTTGAATTATCTTTCTTTGCATGTAATGAGTCTATCTCATATATTAGTTTCACCTTTTAAGTTGCATTAGTGAAATAAATGAACTTTGCACGATATTCTAATTATTCGAGTTTCACCTGTAAATGACTAATGACTATACATATGTTGATGCTATATAAATCCTGAATAATAATAGAAAATCTCTTCTCTAAATGTCAATGGAAGACTCTACACTTTGAGAACAGGTTTGGGCCATTGGTGTCTCATATTCATAAAAAACAAATGTGACATTCACGTATACAAAAAAAAAACCTGATAGTTTTTCTTGCTGAACATTTCTTAATATATATAACAGATTAGCCTACCTGACTGTGTCCCCCTGTGCTAATTGAACACACGCGGAGCTTGTATAAAGTGCCTGGCTTCAAGTCATTGCAGGTATATTCTGTTTCAGATCCACTATATGCTACTTTCCACTGCGATGCTGTAAAAATAGGATATCATTATCATAATATCACTCCATAACCAGGAAAAATAACAGAGACTAGAGGGCAACAATGATTACAATGTAACCATTACATAAATTGCACCATCATAATATGAAGCTTCGCTACAGAGAGTACTGAAAGACATATGGTTTAACAGTAACTAAAAAAAGTCTACTTCAAATTCAATCATCTTTTTTCATAATTAAATGACCAAATTGTTTTACTGTACTGTTCTAGCACTGTTCAAAATACAGGTGATTAAAAAAATAACAACAGCATGTCTCTTAGGGTTATTTGTTAATGAGGGCATTTGCCCTCAGCCTACATGACTAGGGTGTCCACTTTGACACTGTTTAGCAATGCAGCTTGGATACATAAAGTTCTAAAGAAGATTTTCAGGAAAACGAATCAAGTCTATGTAAGATCCCTCCACACGCTTGAGTGGAATGGGTCACTCTACTGAAGGCACTGTTAGATTTTCCTGGGTTTGCACTTTGCTATTTGTAAATTTAACTTGGAGCATCTACTGCTGGTGAAATCTGGTACTGTGATGTTGTGAAGCAAAAAAAGCATCATTAAACTTTAATAGAGGCTACCATTACCCAACCCATGTTCCTTATACTTATTTTGTAGGTAACTGACCTTAAACGATAACTAAACCACTGTCATAAATGTTGCTAATGATTTAGTGCTGAAGAATAAAAACCTTTTTGGGTATTTTTTGTGGTTTTTAAAACTGTACTTATACTTACCTTTCCATTCCTTGAAGTCTGCGTGATTCTTTTCTCAGCAGCCTTCTCTGCATTCTCACCATGTCCTACGTGTGGATGCACGTCCTCCACTGATGATGTTGTACCATCTACTCCTCAGGTTTAGTCTCAGGCTGACGCAGGCTAAACGTGTAGGCGTCAGCATATCAGCCTGTGGTCCAAACCTGGAGGAAGCAGCCTGGGTAAAAATGCTGCTCCTCCATAGATGTACAATAAATGAGTGATGTCAACCTATGACAGGAAGTGTGTTATTGATAGTATCACCAGATGAAATTAAATAAAAGCATGATAAATGAAAATGAATGCAGCCACCACATCTAAGAACTGGAAAGCTGCAATATATTACATTTTGTTTGGGTGCAGGTGCATTTTAAATGCAATTGAAGTTGCTGCCCAGGAAGTAATACTCAATCTATAAGTTATGTTATGAGTTATGATATGTTATGCTATCAGAGCCTTTTCCCACAGGCATTTTCTTTCCTCATTTCTTTAAAGTAGTAAAGAAAATAGCAGGTAGGGTCTTTTGAAATAAGATACTTGTAAGTCTTTTTTGCCAAAACCTTCCACTTTGCCTTTCTAGCAAGTTTGTTCTATCAGTACACTGTACACTCCTGGTCCATTCCAAACATTTGTAAAATACCAGGAGTGGAAGCAGCTGCCAAGATAATGTAACTTCAGTGTACATGCATTAACATTGAGTAAAACAAGAACACTGCGAACCTGGAAGTAGGGATGAAGGACATGGCAGTGGTGGGGATGAAATGGAGGCTAGGTGTCCTGAATAATGCATCACTGATGGAGATCACACCCAGAGATAAGTGTGCCATACTATGCAAGCATGGTAAAAGCTGACTGTCCATCTCAATAGTTTAATTCTGCTTTAAAATACATTGCTTCCCTGTGAGTACAGTTGTGTTTTTTTATAGTCAGACCTTAACCTCCCTGGCGGTATGATTATGTCAGGAATTTTGTGTCAAAAGCGGTACACTTTTTTGCATGGAAAATTGGTGTTATGTATTGTAGGCCTGCAATTCTTAGTAATTACTTACTTAAACCTGACCAAGCAAGACTTTAGTAGACATCCCAGAAGTGATAAAGTTTGAAACACAAAATCATGAATTATAATCTAATAAATAATATAATTTTATTCAATAATGTAATAAAAAATAATGAAATTTGTCAAACAAAGAAAATTCAATAAACATCCTGAGTGTGATAAATTTTGAAACATGGGACTGCACAAAGTCCGACGTCACAATCAGGACAATGGAACCTGGTTTCTTTTCGGACTTTCTTTCCATTGCCATCTCTCTTTGAGCAGCAAACTACGCACATCCTGGTAGGTGCTGCCTTTTTTGCGGTTGGCGGGATGTAGTCCATAAAGTGACGACCAGTCAGGTGTTCTGGGTTGACAACGTCAACAGCACGACATCCAGGTCGGTTCCCAGCTACTGATGGCGTCTGGTGGTTGAGAAAAATCCGCTCATCCACCTTCCAGATAAACTCAGAATGAACAAGAGGCTTGTCCATCTTTGCTCTGTGCAGGATATATGCATTCCAAAGGCATTGTTCCAGAAGATGCCTGAAGATCTTCTTATAATATTTTTTTTGTTGTTTGCGCATAGCCGGATAAAATGTCATTGCCTGATCGGCTCTGTCGACACCTCCCATGGTGTTGTTATAGTCTATCACGACTTGCGGCTTCAGCACATCTTTCCCACCTTTTGTGTGGACCATGGCAGTGGAGGTATTGTGCACAGAACTCATAAGACACACGTCCTTCTTGTCTCGCCATCGCATTGCCATCATCTTACCCTTCTGCCAGGCAACCATTTCTCCGGTTTTCAGTTTTTTCTTGGCAAACATAGATGGCATGTCACGTCGGTTAGGCCTAACGGTACCATATGCATCAGTCTTGTTTTGTAGCAAAACCTCATGCAGTTCCGGAGACGTGTAGAAATTGTCCGTGGTCACACAATATCCCTGGTTCAGCAATGGCTCCAGCATGTAAGGACAGATTATGTGGCCATCACATAGCCGCTGTACCTGGGGGGTGAACTTCGTGCCTTTACCGGTGTAAATTACCGAATTCCAGATGTACCCAGTGGATGACTCGCAGAGCATGTAGGATTTGATGCCAAACCGCACTCTTTTGGATGCAATGTACTGTATCCAGCTTAGGCGTCCCTTGTAGGCCATCAAACTTTCATCCACGCTGACGTCCCTTTCTGGCACGTAGGTCCGCTGGAAATTGGTCACAATCATTTGGCATACCTCCCAGATTTTTTTTAGTTTGGGCGCAGGATGCGTGGCCTCATCAAATTCTTCATTGTTCGTGAAGTGGAAATACTTCATGATGAGGGAAAACCGGTATTCTGACATCACGGTGCCAAAAAACGGAGTGGCCAGTAACTTATTGGTGGTCCAGTACCATTTCTGGAGCGGTTTCCCCACCACCCCCTGAAGAATGATGAGTCCCAGAAACTGCCAGATGTCCTCTTTGGTCACCGGTTCCCACTTTCTGCTTCTGGAAAACCTGGCATGCAGCGTAGCGGATTGCTGCTCTTGGTAGCGATTTGTCTCCGTGACAATTTTTTCAATTACCTCCTCAGTGAGGAATAATTGCAGGTATGCCAGAGGGTTGTCACGCTCAACATCTACCTTCATCCCAGGTGATCCAGTGAACGGGAATCTTGGGGGCGCTACCTGGTCCGTATCGCAGTCAATAGGGCACCAAGTGCGCACATCGCTGAGGTCAGGTGCAGGATCATCGCCGTTGTCACTTGCCAGATCAGTGTCAGACGACAAATCTCCCCACGACTCACTATCGCTCACTTCTGCGAGCACCTCCATGTCGCTGTCACTCAACTGGTCCAAAAGCGCTTTTGTAGTAAAGTGGCGCTTTTTTGATGCCATGTTATAAATATTTTATGAGCACAAATGACAGTAAAATGGCAGGCAAGGGGCACTGTACAGTGATCAAGTGTCAGATCTGAGGTGATACAGTGTAATCCTCTCAGATTACAATGTATCGCCTCTTTTATGTGTGTGTGTTTATACTTTTGAATTTCCCGCCCAGTTCAGCTCCCATGTGTCGCTGCTGCTCGCAGGGAACGGAACCAGGAAGTCAGATGCCGGCCGCACTCTCGCCCGGCGATCACAGCGGAGGACATCGCTAGATCACCAGGAGAAGGTAAGGAGACTCCGCTGACAGCTCTGCAATGTTACACCGAGCGTGACTCGGGGTATACCGCTTCTGGCAGCAAAAATTAAACCCGAGTCACGCTCGGGATTACCGCTAGGGAGGTTAAAGGATAATTAGAGCCTCCAGTGTTTTTGCATATATCTACTGTTAACAAGCAGTAGATATATGCAAAAAGTGTTTAAAAAAAAGCTTTGAAAAGGGTTAATACTTACCTGTGTCTTCCCCGCGAGCTCCCGTCCAAAAATGTGAACATTCTCCAGCGGCCGCAAAGCATCTTGGGGCGGGCGCATGCGCAGATTACATTTTCGGCCGGGACGCAAGGAGAGACACAAGGTAAGTCTATGGATGCGTGCACCCGCATGCAGACACTGTGGAACAGGAAATGCCAGCAAGCTCCAAGGAGTCAGCGCTGGATCGGAGACCCGCTGCAGCGCTGGAGGGACAGATGAAAAGGACAGGAAAGAAGAAGATCAGATTAAGAAACATCATTTAAAGGTAAGTGCTGATATTAACATTGGGTGGAGTGAAAAACATTTTTGACTTTAATGTCACTTTAAAGGAAAAGGATTCAGGTGATTGTCTGCTAGGGGACTGTGGAGGATTTTATTATATTATTTATTTATGCATTTATATTATTTATTTATTAGATTATTGTACCCCAATCAGAAGACTTCTATTTTTCTTGGACATACAGTACACAGCTCTGATGAGGAGTAGAGCACAATAGGGGAACATAATTTTGACTCTAATAAAAATAGGGATAGTACTCTGAGAGTAAAATGTTTTGTTCATCATTTAAAAATTGAGATGAAAGAAGGGACGTTGATGTAGCTTTTGTCCTAGGTTTGCTTATATCTTTAAACAGCCCAGCATGGTGTTGTAGCTAAATAGCACCGAAATGCGCATATCAGGACACAACAAAGCACTTGCTGATAGTCCTTGTATTATTTTCAGTAAGATGATATTTGATAATGGCATCCACATTTATCTGTTATATAAAGGAGCTGATGGTGCACATCTTTCTGCTCCATTCAGTTCACATTTAATTTTATTTTCCTTGAAATAAAACCTCAACAGGGAACAGGCTTTAACGTCTGATGACCTGCTTCTAGGAATTCATTAGTGGTGCACTAGCAATAGTAACAGTGTAATTGGTAGAAGTGACTATCACTCAGCATTCAATCCTGACTATACTGGGTCTCATCTATTTGTGCAGTGCTCCCTAAGATCACCCTATCCTTTCCTGTGCTTTTAGATTAATGAGTAAAAATGAATTTACATTGTCCATGAAGCAGCTCCTTAACTTAAATGCTCTCAGATAAGCCACCGCTTTTCCATAAAAGCAAAAAAAACGTAGCAATTGATATAGTTTAAAATCAGTGATTTAAAATAATGGGTAGCATTTCATCTTTTGATTTAGAATCACCAGAATTTGTCAAAGAAGCCCATAAGTTATACATCTAATTTTTACAGCGCATGTATTAACCACTTCAATACCAGAATGTTACACCCCCTTATTACCAGGCAATTTTTCAGTTTTTAGCACTGCGTGTATTTAGGTATGGAGGCAGACCTAGGGTTCGAATATTTGCAGCAATTTGCAGAAACAATATAAAGACTAGGTTTCATGAGTTTCAATCCTCATTAAACTACTAAAAACAAACTTTGTTACTGTGGGTTACTACACGCTGTATTTATTTCCACCATGTTGAAAATAAATTATTTCAACATAGTTTGCTGCAAAAAGCTTACAAGTTTGCTAAGCCTTTCTTAATAGCACTTAATAAGTGTATGTTGTTTAAATATAATAATTAGGGATGCACAGATACCTGTTTTTCAGTATCAAGTATGAGTACCCATATATTTTTTTCCGGTACTCGCCGATACCTAATACCGATACTGGAAGTCCCATTAAGGGAGCCGGGCGGCGTGTAATGACTTGCCGCCCGGCTTCCCTGATTAGCCATGAAGCCGTCTCCATGGCTTCTCGTCACCAGGTGCTTTGTAAATAGGAAGAAGTAACACATATAAAGTAGATGTAATCCCAATCTGACTGCAAAAGTGGAAATACACTGTAAAGGCAGGGATGGATTTACCATTAGTCACAGAAGACCTATGCCCCTAGGCAGCAGAGACAATAAGATGTATAGATCAGCCACACATTTTTTCATGATCTGTAGAAATACAGTCATCGCATGTAAGCTCATTTACACGTTGTACTCCATCCTAAGCTTGGCTGAGATCAGTAAAACAAGTAATGTTCTTTGAAAAAGAGGTGATTCTAGTAGAAGTATACTGCTTTGGGCGACAATGGTTGTGTGCCTACAGGATCCAGTGATGGTGATGGCTTCAATTGGAGGGGTTACCCACTTTAAAAGATTTTGCTTTATAACCATCCATATAGTAAGACATAAGGGTTTCATATACTGACATTTCCCTGGTAACCAACTGCTGCACTCTTAACCCTACAGTCACTAAAAGAGCAACTTTTTCCAAGCATAGGAACAGGAGTATTCATTTTTACTACAGCTTTTATTAGAACTATGATTATAGTAACGTGTTGCAACAAAAGACCTTGAAAAACATCTCCATCTTGCCATCTGCTAGTCGTATAAGCAACCAATGTGACCATTTTAGTTGCACAGTATAACCCTTCTAAATTATATTAGTTACAATCACTTTCCTGGCTACTCTTCTAGTAGCATTGGATAAAAAAACAAGATTTCAATATAACACTGATGCCAGTATGGCAACAAGAACAGTGATCGAGCCTTAGCAGTATACCCTCTTGTCTAAAGAAATAATATAAAGTTGTAGTTTAAAAACCTCTTTGACATCTTATCACGCTATCACATACTTGACACAGTACCAGATTATATTTCAAACAGTATATTAAGTTGTTTTTTTTTTTTAATTATTTGTCCCTTTTCTATTCTTGATAAATACAATTTACCTGTACCTGAAAAATGTTACTAGAAGTATAATTGGAGTCCCTGCAGTAAAACACACCTTCAAACGTCCCTTCAGAAATTTCCAAAAGATATTTCAGTATTTCTGAGCCACCATTGTCCACAGGAACATCTGAAAGAAGCACATTGACATGCAGTTCAGCTCTTCCTGAACATCCTAGACGATAGATAGATAGATAGATAGATAGATAGATAGATAGATAGATAGATAGATAGATAGATAGATAGATAGATAATTAAATCATTATTTAATAAAAAAGGCAGGAAGATGTAACCGGGATTTATCAAATGTAGTGTGCGGTTTAAGTGATATGCTTTATTGGCTAACTTAAGTTGTTAAAGTTGCAAGCTTTCAGGATTTCCTAGATCCCTTTGAGAGGCTTTATACATTTTGTAAAGGGATCAAAGGAGTCCCATAAGCACTTGAATAGCTTAAGTAAGCCAATAAAGGGTATAATTTTAATGCCAAACATTCTACACAACATTAACTCTAAAAAGAAAAAAAGGCCAATTTGATTATTTTTTTAAAAACAATTAAATTTCCAGAATGTATCTGGCAGACAGTGGCATAGAAAACATGCTCATAGAAACATCAACAAGCCCAAAAAGGAAACCCTGCCCTCCATATTTATTTCCTTTCCAACCGAAATACATATCTTGGCTTTGTGCCACAGCTCCTTCACTTCTCTCCTGCTATCATTTTTTGAAGCCATGATTTCCTCTATGGTCAGGGATTATCATGGCCTAAGAAAAACTGTCAACTATTTTAAAGGAAAACTGTGCTTAGAAAACATTGAGGCTGCCTATGTTGCTCTTTCCGTACAAAGAAAAGCTAGTCGTCCAACAAATGACATAGGCAAGCAGCTAGCTTTTTTCAGAAGTAAGCAATCAAAGCCTACATATTTCTATCAGTAAAGTCTGCCTGAAAAGGGACACCACTATTAACCATCGAGGTGCGCTTCTTGCTTTAGATTCAGTTTATTACTACAGCTCTGCTGAAATGCCATTCCACCGTCTGGTGGTCATTATTACCACTTTTTGCTGTACCAGCTCTTAGGCAGGTTTAAATGTTTAAAAAGGGTTACAGGTCTTACTTTCAGCAAAAATATTCATGCTACAAAATTTTAATTGGCAAAGAAGAAGAAGGGATGATGTAAGAAACATGGTCTGAAAAATTAATTTTGTAATAGTGTTTATTAACCTCATCTTTAACCAATGCTTATGATCAGTGCTGTCCTCCTTAATAGGGAAAACAGACCTTATCTTGGTTTCTCTGCTAATGGTGTTAGCTGCAGAAATATCTTCTAACAAACAGCTATATTATCAGAATCAAAGTGCATTGGGTCTGAATCCCCACTGTTGGTGACTCTTTCAAAAAAGGAGACACAAATGAAAAGAGAAGTAAAGTCAAATTTTTTTGGCTTTACTTCTTTTGTGGGTCACAGGAGTGTATTTACTAATGCATTCCGGTGACTCAAAGTCAGCAGACAGCAGGGTACTGCCTGCTTCATGCTGACAGCGCAGAGCCACACTGCAGTTGGGAAGCATCTTGATTCCAATATTGTCGGGATCCACCTAGTTGCCTGATTGACAGTTGGCTCTGCCTCACTAGTGCCATAGCCAGCTGTGCCCGCCCCCTCCTTTGTCTGCCCCTCGAATGAGCACTGGAGGAACAGAGAGGGGAGGGGTAAATCCATGTGGGGAGTAATGGCTGACAATCACTGCTCTCTGCAGGGAGAAGACCACGATCAGCAGTTACATGATCGCTCAACTTTCAATATATAGAGCCAGCATGTCACGCGTGACTCTAAGCATTGTGAAGAGTATATTTTACTCTCCCAATACTTTTCCTTTAAGCCAACACACAGACAAGCAGCTTGGAGATGAGGCTTGCTTCTTGATCCATTTGGTAATTAGAAGGTGAAAACTGTCTGTACATGAAAATAAATTTGTACTTCTCAGTTGGAATTTAAGGGCTGTATACAGAGGCGTAACTAGAACCCTCAGGGCCCCGGTGCAAGAAAACCATAAAGGGCCATTATAAAATATTGCATACTGATAACTTAGAACAACAGTTGGATGTATCATTGAAGGACTGAATGGCAGATCCTGCCAAGGTTTAGGAGCGCCTAAACATGTAAGTTGAATAATTTATCATAATACTAGAAATATAATAAAATTACACAAGTTTATAGAATTGGTGTGCGCTGGATGTTCAGTGGATCTGTCTATTGGACTAATAAGGGTATGTGTGTATGTTTCCAGACATCCACTGTTTGTGCTATACAGTACTAATTTGGGTTAGTGGAGGTGAGCAGTACTGTATTCTGTATGGGCCAAGATTCACCATACATATTCAGGAAAATTGTTTACTCCAGACATAAAGGACTTGATATCTATATTTTCCAGCACATTCTTCCTTTTAAAAGAGAATCACCAAGATCTGTTTCTGTTTTATATTATATAGTAGGTTGGTTTCTCTAACAATCATTGGATCTATAAAGCAGCAAATGTTAAAGCTTTTCCCAAACATTTGGCATTCCTAACCGTTGAAATTGAAGATTTCCATTGGATGCCGACACTACTTTTTTGTTACATTTACCACAGTTGTGCTGCACATTCAGCAGTCAGCATTTCAAAAACATTTTGAAAGCAAATGTGCAGTGAATGTGGCTCATTGCAGGCAAAACAGACCCCTATTCTTCAAGATCTGCATTGCAATTGTATAACTGCAAAAGTTTAGCCCAAGTCAAAGTAGACCACATTCCTTGCAATGTAAACCTTTTTCTCATGAATCATATTTATTTTAATGCTTCATTTTTTAGCTCAAACAAAACTCCAAACCCGAATGTCAATCTACCAAGAAATGATTGTGCTTGTCTTATCTATATGAGCATGATAAGAGCAGTGTCTGTCTGAATACCAATGAGACTCTATTTCATTCATTGCACCAGAGACATGTTGTGCAGTTACAGACATTTATTAAAATGCCACATCCATCTCTATCACTGTGCAGTTCTATCATTTGTTAAAGAACTAGAGTAGAGCTATTGCTAGAGCAAATACAATACATTCCCAAAAAACTATGCTGAGCATTTAACTTATAAATTCACTTGTTTATATCAGATCAGATTCAATACTCAAGGTGTCATAAAATGTTAGCATTTTATTAAGTAAATACTGTATTTACCCCACTGAACAGTAAAGCCAAGTGCAGTGATGGTGCCCTTTACTACAGGTCGAGAAGGTGGTCCCGGCCGATCTGGACTTGTTGTGCAGACCAATACTTCACTTGGACAGCTACATCCTTCAACATTGGAGGCAATAAGCTGTAACAAAAGACAAAGGATAACAAAATAAAATGCAATGGTATTTAAAATGCCAGTCACAACGTGTTTAAAGCAGGCTTGACTCATAAAATAAAGCCGTTTTCTTTAATACATTAAATTTACTAGTTATACACACACTAAAGTCCTTTGTGCAATGTACTAAACAGCAATGATCAAATATACCTGGAATTAGGATCAAAACAAAGCTTTCCACATAAATTCTATCTTTTTCTTACATACACGACCTTGTCACATCAAATTATTATTTACCTAGAAGCCTTTTTCTTTTTCAAAAGGTTTATTTGCATTCAGAACAGTATTGTATACAAATCTGATTGGTACAAAGTATGAAGACATACACAAACAGAATTTGCCTTTTATACCATGTACCCGAGTGATACACAAATAAGCTACAGTTTTGTTAATGGCTAAAGTACTTGAATGCGTTATTAAGGTTTTACTCCTGAGTTTAGTGTCACTTTAAACCAGTAACATTTCATCAGATTTGTTAAACTATCATTTTGGACAAAATAGCCTATGCCACAAACCTAATAAGCCAGCACACAAACACCTCATGTGTGAGATGGGGTCTTGGGTGCAATTCACTTTTACATTTTGTTGGGAAAGTGGTGAACTGTATAGTCCAATTTAAGCTTCACATATAAAGCACACAGCATGATGCCTATATCTGTAACAATTATCACACTGCACGGTTGTGAGAAAAGCAGCAAATTTTGTATAACTCTTAAAAGGAGTCATCTTTCATATGTGCTTGGAGCGGTATGATTTCTATATAGACCCCTGTGCCTCTCAAACCAGGCCAATTCTAAAGGAAGCCATTTAAACCCAGGTGAATTGCAGCAGCCTGTGGCCTTTTCACATGTAAGCAATGTAAGAGACATTTACAACCATAAATGTATTTCCTTTTAAGCTAATGCCAATACTGCCAAGTGACATCTTGAAGTGCATCTTTACCATGGGTGGGCAAATTAATACAAAATTCAAGTGCCAGCAGGTTTTTAAGAAGTCAGCTCCGTTGGAAACAATTAGAGAAAACTTCAAAAGTTAAGCGCCAGCTGTAACTTTTCAGAAACATTGGCTACCTGGCTCCAGGGATATGCCCATCCCTGGTTTAAACCCAAGAACAAAAGTGTAATGCATTGCAGCTTTCTGGTCCTTTAGATGTAGTGGTGTCATTAGTTCTCTTTTCTCTGGCTTTTTCCCTTTATTTTTACCTGGTGATCCTGTAACATACTTCCTGTCACAATGTGATACTACTCACCATACTGTATCTTTGAAGGAGCAGTGTGGTCACCAAATAAGCGTGTTATGACTACAGAATACTTCCCCCTCTCTTCATATCCATAACATGGTGGGGTGTTCTGTAGTTTACAGAAGATAGCTGGCAAAGCTGATAATTTTGTTTGAAAACTAAGTATATTTGCACAGGAAGTTACAAGGATAATGGATATCTGGTAGGATCAACAGGTATTTTTTGTACTTGTAGAAAATATACTTGCCTGAAATAAGAAAACAAATGCAAACCCCCACATCCAAGGACCAGAAAGCTGTAAAATATTACATTTTGTGTTCTTGGGTTTAGATATACTGTACTTGGAAGCTGGCCTTTTCTAACACAAATCTTTGCAGCATTATATGGCATGGTTTTGACCTCTAGGCAAAGATCATGCTGCCCTGGCATGTGTGAATGACTCTCACCAAACATGTGGCACTGCTTTTGACACTAATTTGACAATTGCTGCAATCGGTATTTTGTTGCAGAAGTACAATTAAACCATGCTGCCCACAAATTCTGTATCAGACTATTCATTCAAATAGAAATGTACAAATATCTTAATAATTGTAACATTTATTATTTTGTAGGCAGCAATGATTAACGTTGTGGAATCTGCAAGTGAAGCAATATACAAGAATGAAACTATAACACATTTACAACATAGAGGAAAACATATAGAACATCACCCTCTGCTGGCAAACAGCTGCAGCTGAGGCTTACCCTAAATTTGTATTGTGTGCTTCTTTGGAGATTATTCACAGTACATGTTAATTCTTCTCCAGTGTATGCAGGTTGAAATACACTGTCCTAAAAGCATAACATAACAAAGGATGCAAAAAGTTATATTAGGGCATTTTCTTATGACTGTATAAGATTGCTTCCTTTTGCATTTGTTGAGTCCCCCCAAACCAGCAGAAGGCAGCAACTAGTGACACATGACAAAAAGGAGGCTAAAGATGGCAAGGCATGAGATAATAGAGGACAGACATAAGAGGAAAGGAGAGGATACACACGGATGGAATTGCAGGATTGAAGAAGGCTGGCAAACAGAAATACAACAAGACTAAGGACAGATGTTAGTAGCCTAACACAATGGAAAACATGTAAGCAAACTTAAATGCTATATGCTTATGTTTTTAGGGTAGAGTGACCTAGCTGCAATGTATAATCATTGGTGCTAATGAGCCCTTGGTTATTACTAGTGAAGCAAGCAATACCCTTCATCATTTATTTTTATTAGTGCAAAAACTAAGTGTAAAATGAATACTATACAGTACAATGGTTAGGTGTATGGTAAAAATAGCCTGAATTGTATTGTATGATCCTTGCCACTGATGTGTGGTCAGTCTTTAGCACTGATACTTGCTAAGCATTTATTATTAAGGCATGGAAGAAGCAAATCTAGACTATTGACATATTTGATTTGCCTAGTAGAAGTAATTTGGATGAGCAAATTTATCTTTGCAAAAAGTATGCTGATCTAACTAAAGGTATTCATATATTTAAGATGACAGTTGTTCATTAAGAAACAATCCAAGCAGCAAAAACTATTCCACCAGATTGAAAAGTTGTACAGAAGATGTAACTAAAGCATTCTATTGGAGTCATCCTTAAATTGTGTATTTTCTTTTAAAGAGATTCCGTACTAACTGATAAACAAAAGGCAGAAGCTGCTGTGTAGTCATTGTAAGGTTCCCACCACTTAATCCATTGCTGGAGCCTCAAAGAAATAACCAGTTCTTTCAGGTACGGGGCACATCTGACATTTCACCCCCACAATTGAGTGTTTGGTACGTAATTGGCCAGGCCTTAGTGCAAGTACATGATGGTAGTGTAGGAAGTTGAAACTTGCACGGGAATTGTGGTTGGCTCTGGTTGCAGATAAGTATAAAGTAGACATGTGCAGGCATCTTAGGTACCTACACACAACTTATACCTTAGTTTGTTTTTCCACCAAATACAGTGTCATTTTATGGCTGGCCTTTAGAGTCATTGTGCAAAATATACTGTCCCTTTTTTGTTTATTACTTAATTGGCCTTACAATGTACCATATATACAGTACATACAAGTTAAAGGCTGTTGGGATACAAGGTGCTTCTTAAGGTATGCCATGCACTCTATTATGAACTAACTGGTAGCTGTACCCAGAGGCACTAGATATTAGATTTGCCATGTGTGTTTTCTTTAAAGAGGGGCATATTGGGGGTCCTCTATTTTTTTTTTCTTTATAAGCTGAATCGCTTAAAATAGAGACTGCCATTTATTAAGGCAAGGCTTCCATAAATCCTGTACTTCTCTAGAGTGAAGAGTGCAATAAATAGTAAAATGAAAGAACGTACGGTATCCTCCTGAATCTCCAACGTGTATGAAATCACTTCTTCTGGGAAACATCCCTCTGGCCTCATCCAATGCAGCGTTATCCACGTAATTCCAGCTCTAATAAGTTTAGGTGTGGAGGGTGTCTGAGGGATATTGCCTGATGTGTAGTACACAACCTCTTGGCTGTACTCGCTGTGAATAGACAGACACCTCAATGAGCCAGCTGTTTACTATGGTGTAGTAGTGTTCCTTGCTGTGTAAACAATCTATCTAATTATGTTGGTTACCACAGATTTAAGCTTAAGATGTGTAAATGTGCATTTAAAGAGAGAAATGTACCGTTTCTAAAGAAACCAGTGAAAGGAGTACACACTTTCTTGACTGGCATGTCAATATTTACTTACATGGAAAAATAAAGTTTACCAGATGAATCCTTTCTTGTTCTGCATTTGTTAGTAATAACTGATTTACTGGAAAAATATTCTCCCTTACAGAGTATATTTAGAACAATGGCATGTTTACTTAATGCTCATGTAAACCGTAACTGAATGGCATTTAGTTTGGTAAAGCCCTTTGTTACATAAACGACTGTCATGCTTTTTAATACAATCTAGATTACCATATTTGCAATTGCGATTTCATTATCACTTAATAGTTCACTTCTGGATATGAAATTCAGAATATGCCAATCTGTATTAGAAGCAGGCAAACAGATCCAGCAGATTCCTAAACTACTATTGTCAGCAGGCTTTGCAGATAACTATTTACATGGGAATACAATGGTGTTCCCTTTTAAATGAGCAACAGTATGCCTATATAATATGATTTCTTGTGTCAATCAATAGAGACAGGTTTTAATGCATGGGACAGCCAGAGTACAGAGAGCATATGGCTCCACTTACCACCATGATAGAATGCATTGTCAACCTGAGTTGCTTTCCTCATGTACCCAAGAGGGAGCTCAGCAGGCTTATTTAAAAATGGCTTAGAGGTAGCAAGGAAATCAAACAATTTGGTGCACTAGCTGACAGGGACAACCATTAGGACATTTCCAGCTATAAGTTTTTGCCCTTACAACAGCTTATTAAGTGAAAATTAAGTATTTAATTGCATAGGATTTCCACGTTTGAATGGTGGGTTTTCATTTTTGCTTAGACTTCAAACTATAAAAGTACATGTAAAGCCAAAACGTTTTTTCAAGTTTAAGGCAGAGTAGGAGTAATATATTGTATTGCTGCCTGTGTACCCTTGTAAAGATTTCCTTTTACTTCTTGTCCTGGAGATGTAACAGGAGAGCTCTCCCAAGTGAACAGAGTTCCCATCTTGTCATGTGTCCAATTGGAGGATTTTCTTTCACTTCTTGATCTAGTGACAACTCAAATATTTTGGATTTCCCCCAAATTCTTCTTCTCTCTCAGTAACCATGGTCAGCAGGACAAATAAAGGGGTGAATTGTCCCAGTGAGGCTATAGAGAGCAGTGAAAATTTGACAGGGGGTTTGACCCCTCGCCACTCTATCCAATTAAAAAAAACTATACTTTAAAGTGTTTAAACACTTTTTAAGATTTATACACAGGCAGATCCTTAAATTACTGAATCATTATTTCATACTAAATATATAAGTATCACTTGTGTTTATGGCATTCTGTTAGAAAAATCCTTAGAGTCATGCTTACCCAGAACATTCCAGTGTGGCTGCTATGTAAAAGTGAATCTTTTTCCCATGTGGGACATTTTATATTACCCACATGCCACTCCTACATAACAAATCTGCACCATTCGATGATGTTCCTTTCAAAAGTCAACACTGTCAGTATTCAGAGAGGAAAATCTGTTTAGTACAAGAAAACGTTGTTGTTTTTCTTTTTAGGTGGGTTTATCTATAAAATGTTGTATATGCTGGGTGGATGCTGTTTGCATTGCACTAGTGCCCCTAGATGGTGCTGATGAGTATAGGGATTTCCAGGGCAGTGCGGACAAAAGTTTTATTAAAAAAAAGATTTTTGCTGCAAATGTTTATTATTAAATTGAACCTTTAGGATTATTTTTAATAAAGCTGTGCACAGACGATAATGTGCAAAGTACAAAAACCCATGGCAACCAATCTTCTTGATTTAAATAACAGAACTCACCTTTTGCCAATATCATTGCGTGCTGCCACTCTAAATGTGTATCCCATGGCTGGGCATAGTTTTGCGAGCCTACAGTGCCTTTGGATTCCCGTGTAACATTCTCTGAACACACTGTTTCTTTTTCCCTACAGAAGAAAAAAGTATCAAAGATTATATTTCAGATGCAGATTATTTTCTGTATCCTGTCTGAGTAAATTACTTTGCCATGGTTACAGCCAGACATAAGCTGAGAAAAAAAGCCCAACAGGTGAGATAAAGAATGATGCCACATTTCAAAATGTTTTTTCTCCTAATTCCCTCCACTGAAAATAATGAACTGCTCTAAAGTGACACACATTAGCAGAGACATTTTCAACAGCAGAAAATTATAAATTTATAAAAGTATCAATTCACTCAAAATAACTCTTCATACATAAATAAATACTAATAAATAATAATAAATACTTTTCATTATAATTATTTTCTCATATTTACAAAACAAAAAGAAAAACTTCCCAACACAACTTTGACAAAATGACTTGAACACAGATAAACTTATAAGGCAGACCACAATGCAATGGTACTTCTTATAGCCCCCAAGACTTCCTAAATGCTAATGTCTAGTTCTTTCTTGTTATGGAATCTGACCTGTGAATTGTGAATACCAGCGCATTATGATATTAGTTACAGGGGGTTTACAATTTCCCTAATCCTTCCATGCAGCAATAGAGTCATCTCCACACTCATCATCTTTAAACAGCAGTGAGGCTTGTGGCCCATGGCTGTTAACATTTACACAGTTGGCTAAGTCTGCTACTTATCTTATACTTGGATATAACCACAGATAGAATCTCCAAAATATAAGGTTACTGCACAAGATTTGGATAACTCATTCTGGAAAAGAAGTTGGAATCCGTCCTTCCAGTACTGTAAGCTTACTGCACAAGATTTGGACAACTCAGCCTGGGAAACCAGTTCGCCCTTCCAGTATTTACAGTTATAACCATTTAATAGAATGGATAACCCTTTTAAGCATTTTAAACTACACTCTCCACTTATTCGTGCCAGCCATAATGGAAACTACTACCTATAAATACATATTACCTATAAATACCTGTTACCTATACTAGCTATAAATACCTGTTACCTATTTTAAAAAAACTCCTTTACATACTTTCAATTTTTCATGTATGCAGACTCTATACACCTTAAAAAAGTGGCCATTGTTAACAATATTTTCAAGTTATGATTCATTGAGGAACAATAACAGCTTACTGTGTCATTAATATACATTTGACTATAAGAAACTCATGTATACTGGATTATTTTTCTTTTCCAAAACACCATAGTATGTGCTGCTCCATGTACGCAGATGTGATAAACACACAAATTGAAGAGATGACAATGAGCACAGCAATCTAATGGCATTGTTTTATGTGTATTTTTCTTTTGGAATAATTTTCTTCAGGCCATGTTTTTGTAAAGAACGAGTTACTTATTAATTTGACTAGCTTTAAGATCTAATGAAGAGAAGTTGGAAAAGTCAAAGGAAAATTAGTTCTGCATCTGTGACTGACATGTATTCCCTAAGTGGTGAGCCAGTGAAATCCTCTGTGAAGCAGTATTTCCTGAGTGAAAATAAGGCCCACCATGCAATGAAAAGAAAACAGAAAGAGCGTTTTTATTGATTGCTCTCCTCTGACCCAGCTTTATGTTCATGCTTGCCTAATTCAATGGTTGGCCGTGCAGTCTCCATGTTTTCATCCTGTTTCTCTCTAATGAGCTCAGCAGATGAGGCCTAGGGGCCAATTGTTGATCTTTTTCACAGCATAAAATATATTTTTAACCTTCATATGTTTAAGGCTAAGAAGATTAGTTTAATCAGATAAAAGCATACACCAACATACACCATTCAGCAAACTATAGCAATAGTATTATAAACAACTAGTACTAAATTGGTATTAATGAAAAGTAACTATGCTTGGGATACATAGCAATAAAAACACAGCATCAACTTCACACCTGAACAGGTCATTAAAGGGAAACTACATAAAACCTTTGCAAATGGGCATCAGTAAAACAGGGATCAGTGATACAGAGGTTATGAATGTAGGTTATGCATGTAGTGGGCAGCACTTTATGCTGACCAAATGCTCAACAGAATCTGAGGAACCAAGTCACTTAAAGGATCCTTCACCTCTCAGATTTTGGATTTTAACCTAAACCCGTAAGATGTTAAATAGTACCTGTGCCCAGAATATGGATATTAAAGTACAGTATATACATATTCTTAACAAGCAGCACCGGAACCTCAAAACAAGCACTCCCTGACCACTGTAGCTGCTGGCACAGTTAAGTAATTCACCCTCAAAGTTTTTATCCAAAGTCTGATTTCAGTCTGTTTCAGCTTACTTCACCAGTGTGCATATAAGGGACGATATCACGTCAAATAATGGGGAAGACGTGGAAACTCTATGGCTGGAGCTAGATATGACGGACGCTAACATTTGGTTATGTTAGAAGGCTGATTGCCAGAGGAAAAAAAGGGGAGAAGAGCTGTAATTTCAGTGCCTCTGTTTTTAAACTGTTCATGAATTTTGAAGTTGAATTTTTTTCACAGTGTCTGCATAGGTTAGTGGGGACTTTATTTAAGCGTATTTATTGCTCCTTAAGAATGCGTAATACTTTAATGTACATAGTCTGGGTATAAGTGTACTATGAGATCTTGTAAAAGGAAACATATCAGCGGGGCCAGAAGTCACTAAACGCTGACACTGATACTGATCCTGATCAAAAGATCAAGGATATGGAAGCAAAACAATTCTGTACAATATATAGTCTTCCTCTGCTTACTGAATTGCATACAGTTGCTCTTTAAGGCCAGTTTTACACCTATGCATTGGGGAAACATGCTTGTTTTAATGCACATTACAGAAATGTACAGCAGTGAGTTGTAGTACATTGAATGGCCCCTAATGCACTATACCAAGGCACCTTTAACACAGATGTGTTACAGCGCACAGCAATGCACAATAATGGGATACTGTGCATTGGGGTGCACTACACTGATAAAAATAGAGCAGGTCCAATTCTACCTACGTTGTGGTAAAAATTAATGCAATTCATGTTTACGTGTTTGTGTTAACGCACCGCGTCTAACTGCACATGTATAAAGTTGTCAATGTATAAACTCCGGATTCCACCACTGGAAACTTCTCCTCCTGTTACAGCAAAGTAAGTCCACTGAAAGCTGACATTACAAACTGCACTGCTGCCAGTGGGCTGCTTCAGTCACTAGCTAATAAAATACAGGAACTTCAGCACTGACAACTTTTTAAAGCCACCCAGGGGTGCTTTCTCAATAATTGATTATGTTTAAATAAAGAGAATCCAAAAAAGGAGAACAAACACAAAATCTCAGCGTTTTGGCAGCTCTGCAAACCAGTGAGCTGCCCCAAAGGTTAAAGACTTTGAGCTTTCCTATTTTAACTCTCTTTGCAAGTCCTGCCAATGAAGTTGGCATACTGTATTTTGTATGCAAAATTGTTTTACCACTTTCAAAGTCTCCCACTTCAGGGTATAGCAGCTTTCAGAACATGCAATGATTTCTATATGCAGCTTTTGAATTGCAGTTGCTGCATGCATGTCTTATGTAGGGATGAAGCGGGCAGCATGCTTTACTGAAAGCTTTGGGAAAAAAAGAGTTAATCTGATTCACATATTCCAAAAACATTAATATCAGTTTCGGATTAACAGACCTCTGATTTACAGACATTATAGCAAATATTTATATTTAAGTATTTCACATGCAATATTATACATAAATCACTATGTTACAACACTAAATGGTGACTAACACTTATCCAACACTTATCAAAAAGTAATTCCAAATCCATTGCACAGTTCTCTTTCAAGTATGTTATACTCAACAATGGTCACGTCTGTTATATAATTGTAACTATACATCTAATGTAAACCAAATATAGCACTGATATGAGCATGCATCTGCAAGTGTCTTTGACCTGGATTTACTTGAATGGCAAGTAAAGTTTGAAATGAACAGAGGTCACAAGTCCCAGAAGAGGACAAATGTCAGCATATTCTTCTGCACAATCCTTTGGGCAGGGCAGTCACTTTAGACCAGCGGTTCTCAACTTGGGGGTCGCGACCCCGTCGGGGGTCGATTGGCTATCTGCCGGGGGTCGCCTCGCGGCCCCGGGAAAGGTCTGCTCCGCTGTTTTTTTGGGGGTTTTTTTCTGACATCGGAGCCGCATGCAGAGGACCAGCAATAGTACCATATAGTATAATGTACTATTGCTGCGATTTTCTGTATTCCTCTGTAGCTGGCGTTATTCTGTGTTGAAAATACTTTTATTGTTAGGGGTTGCTACAACTTGGGCAATTTTATCAAAGGATCGCGGCACTAGAAAGGTTGAGAACCACTGAAACAGAGGATTTGTTGTCTCCTTTAAGCAGTGGTTCTCAAACTGTGGGTCGCTGTGTGTCCTCCTCAGCCCTCTTCTAGCGCAGCAGTGTCAGTTCTCCTGCCACGCCGCCAGATGTTGCTGCAGCAGCCACGTCATCCCTAAATTTTACCATTGGGGGTCACCACAACTTGGCAAATGTTACCAAGGGGTCCCGGCCCTAGAAAGGTTGAGAACCACTGCTTTAGACCCATGTGCATTACAGTCTATATTTACTTTTTACATAAATGTAGGTTGTATATGGGTGGACATAGACATTCATAAGTGCAATAAGCTAGCTATGGCAGTGGGCAGAATGATCCACAGATGTATCGAATCTGCCCATGTGCAATGGGTTTTACTCTGCACAGCATATAGCCAAACCTCAGTAAAATGCTTAATACAAACCTCATCCCACTGTAAAAGGTAACTGCTGATTTTTGAGCCATTGTCAACCGGTGCCTATGAAAACAAGAGAAAAAAAAATATCTTGAAATTCATGTATATTATGCATGGTAAAAATAAAGGTTAAATAAATAAGCAACTCAATTACACAAATATACCAAATTATAAATATTAATATTTATAAATACATTAATCTAACTACAATTAAATGAAAAACAATAACAGAATATAT